TTGCTTGATTGCTTGTTAGTTTGTTTGTTTGTTTGTGTTTGTGTGTTTGTGTGTTTGTGTGTTTGTGTGTTTGTGTGTTTGTGTGTTTGTGTGTTTGTGTGTTTGTGTGTTTGTGTGTTTGTGTGTTTGTGTGTTGTGTGTGTTTGTGTGTTTGTGTGTTTGTGTGTTTGTGTGTTTGTGTGTTTGTGTGTTTGTGTGTTTGTGTGTTTGTTTGTTTGTTTGTTTGTTTGTTTGTGTGTGTTTGTGTATTTGTGTGTTTGTGTGTTTGTGTGTTTGTGTGTTTGTGTGTTTGTGTGTGTTTGTGTGTTTGTGTGTGTTTGTGTGTGTTTGTGTGTGTTTGTGTATTTGTGTGTTTGTGTGTTTGTGTGTTTGTGTGTTTGTGTGTTTGTGTGTTTGTGTGTTTGTTTGTTTGTTTGCTTGCTTGCTTGCTTGCTTGCTTGCTTGTTTGTTTGTTTGTTTGTTTGTTTTCTTTTGGGGGGGGTTGGGGGCGGGTTGGGGGGGGGCGAAAAAAACCATTTAAGGCCACTGACTTTGGGTATGCCCATGTGGGTTATGTAGGGGGTCCAAAAGAGGACCTCGTGGTTTCCTTGTCGACTACTGGTCGGTGTCCTGGCAGCTTCCCTTTAGGCCCAATGTTTGAAACCTCCCCCGAGCAACTCGTGGGAGCTCTCCTCGGACTTATGTTGGGTCCCCCGGAATCCGATTCCGGAAGCCGTTTTGGGATCCCATTTTGGGGTAGGTGCACCACCCATTTTAGAACCTATTTTAATGGTTGGATTGGGTGGCCATATGGGTCAAAATAAACCCACCAGGAATTGGACCGCGGGTTTTAGTCTTGGGTTCCATCTATCAGGGTTTTTGGGTACGCATTCTTGAGCCGCAGCCAAATGGCGCCCTAGCAGTTCTGCTGGTCTCTGACAGCACTGGTCCTCCGACCTCGAGCCCGGGAAGTCCTGAGTCGGAACCCTCTAAGCCCAAACCGGCGGTCACGAACTTGAGCAACTGGTGACATTGACTTGGGGCGGCTTTCAAGCAAAAAAAGGACCCCGGCCAGTTCTAGACCCAGGTGGCCCAAAAGGACAAATGTTCGATGGCTCCGGGAAATGGTTCGATCGAACCAACCCCACCAGCGGAAACCCTCGATTTCGCGCCCAACCCAAACCCTCGGGTTGAGTGTCCAGCACAACACGCGGCCTGTGGACGCTGCTTCCGAGAAGAGCGGATCTGGCTCGAAGGTTGGACCTGCAAAATGAAGCTCGGCGTCTCAGGTGCTAGGGTTCACAGGACTTAAGGCGTGCCTTTGCTCTTTCAAACCAACATTTTGCTTTTGCTTGTGCTTGTGCTGCTTGCGTGTGCTCCTCTCTTCAAACCGACATGCTTTTGCTTGTGCTCTTTCAATAGTTTCAATCTTAAGTCCACCCAAGTCCAGGTAGTTGGTGGCTTGGCTTGGAAGTTGGGGGCTCACACTTTCCCTGACACCAAAGGGATTCAGCCGAGTTGGCTGTTCGGATCGGCTGGGACGAGCTCCCGTGGGCCCCATGGCCTGTTCAACCTCTGAGCAACCTTTGAAGGGCGCGGCTGATCCTCCATGCTCCTAAGCGCTTTGGGCCTAGAAATCATCTGGATCTGGATACTCTGGGCCTGGGACGTGAGAAAAAATGAGAGGGGTCCCCTCAGCCTTCTCTGAGAAAAAAAGAGTGTGCCAAAGTGGGTTACAAGTTGCTGTGTTTTTTCCACTCAACCGCACGAAGTCCTCGCCATTTCGGGCCGGCCTGCCACCTGTACACGCTTGCAGCACTGCGAGTCGAAAAGCTTCAGGCGCTTCCGGGTGGCTTTTGCCACCACATGGGCATGGGGCAGAAATGGGGTACCAATGGTTCCACAACAATGGTCATATCGGTATGGGTCAAGTTAAAACACCAGAAAAACCGCAAATTTTAGTCCATGTGTCCATCTACAAGGGATCCATTTTGGGGTTACCCTATTTTTGACCCACAGTCAGATTGAATATTTGGTTGATAATTTTGACCCAGGCCGACATAGGAACCGTCCAAGCCTCCGCTCAAGCCTCCGCTCAGGACACCTTCTCTTCAGGCCGTCAGGGATCTGCTGCCTCCGCTTCACACCGCCGAATATTTTTAAGAGCACCAGCTTGAGAAGCTGCAGTTGAGACTCTTTGCTCGAAGAACTCCAGCCCTGGTCAATGCGTGCAACGCTGTGATCCCTCACAACCTGGTTGTAGCCTTGCAAAACAAGAAACTGCCGCCGGTTTGCATGGTACAACTCTTGCGTATCGCAGGAAACCACTGAGTAAAAAAAAAAAGCTGTGAAGCGGCCAAATACGTTGGGCTTCGGCCGCAAAATTCGCCCGCGCTGTGGTTCCTGCCGCCGGGACCCGTGCGAACAGATTTGCACGATGACATTCGCGACGGGCAGGTCAATGGCATTGTCACCTACCTTGGAGAGGAAGACTGTGTTGCACACAGAACTTTCCTGGAACTCGCTGAGAATCTGCATACGCTACGGGATGTCCACTGAGCCGCAAATGTCATATCTTCCCAGCTTTCTGGCGAATTCCTTCAGGATGAAGATGTTGGCGCTGAACACAATTCTAGGGGTTGATTCCTTGTCCATTCTTTTCAACCATCGTTCTTTTCAAAAACCGATCGCTGTTTCCCCAGGGTTGTGGTTGGTTTGTCTAGAAAGATTCGGATGCTTGGAAAGAATGGACATGGAAGCTACCCCTTGAACCATCATCTTGTCCCTGCGTTGCTCGTGAAGCCGGATTAAATACTCGCAGGTGTCGAGCTTCTTCGGGTTGCAGGTCCCAAGGGCACGCTGGATGGTCGCCCGCATGGAACCTGGTTGCACGAAGAACTCTTCGGACATGTCGCGCCAAACTTCAATGCAGCGAAGCCGGGCTAAATAGCCATTATCCTGCAGCTGCTGCCAATTTGCTTCGTAGAGCTTGGGCCCAATGAGCCAGTGCAAGTCTTGAATAAAGTCGTCTTCTCGTACCAGAGTGGCTGTGCCCAGGCAGCAGTGAGCCTTGATGCCGGTGGCAACTGTTCGGAACGTCCGGGCTGGCACGACTTGAACCTCATTAACCACGAGCAACCCCCATTCAAGCTGCTGCAGCAAGGCCACCGCAGCCTTGGAGAGGTCCCGAAGCAAGGCCTCTTCGGACTCCAGCAAGTGGCGGCCGCCGCGGAGAACAAGTCGAAGCTTTTCGGTGGTCGGCCCTTTCTCCCGGATAAAAGCGCACAAAGTTCGGATGAATTTCATGTTTGGAGAGTTTGACCAGCAGCTGAAGGCTCTGTTCAAAGGTTATGCCGCTTGCAATGGCAACATTCAATTGAAAGAGCCGTAATTTGATACTCATGTATGGTCTGCACCCTGCTCACTGGCTCAGATACGGCAATCGAAAAATCTGCCACTTGAGCTGCTTGTGCATGGAATGTTGCGAAAAGTATCCTCCCTCCCAGTGTCGCAAACCCAAATTGGGCGCTTCGCATGGTCTGGCTGCATGCCTTCTTGAGCCGAGCTACCTGCACTGCTAAGTGGGTTACAAGTTTATGATTTGATTGAAACCCTTAGCTTGTTCCCTCAACTCCATGCGATGTATTGCTGCGCCACCCGGCGTCGACCATATTTTTTCTGGGTGTCTGCACCAAAAAATGTCTTCACTGGGTGAGCCTTCTGCAACCTGGTCCAATGTCCCTCCAAAACTGACCATAGGCTGCGGAGACGCTTGAACTTGGCCTCAAACCCAAAGTTTGACCCGGCGCAAAAGTTTCAAGCTCGCATCTGCGCACTTGTTGGACCTATCGCCAAGTGCCCCTGGCATCTCTTGTGCCAGGAGAATGTTGACCCAGGATCTAAGTGGAACCCGTCCCATTTCTCAGGGGGTGTTGCCTCCAAAAGTGTGAATCCAACCACCAGAAGGGCACATCCCCCCAATCAACAAATCAACCAGGGGTTCTGCTTGATCCGGGGTTAGTTAACATTACCCTTTTCAACTTTTGGGGTGGCTCCAATTCCTTCCCCCTTTTGCCGCTGATCTTCCCCCTATGGCCCTAGGCTCATGGCGACCCATCACCTTCCAGGAAATCATGGAGATGTCCGTCACACGAACTGGGAAAGGAATTGAGTTGGCTGTGGATCAAAGCCAACGGGATTGCATTTTGGGGGGTTTTCGGTGAATTCACCACTTATTTTAGTCGGGATTTTAGTGGGGATTGAATCGGATGTTCACTGCAACCTAACCGACTTGGCTTTTGACCCATGGCTAGGGACGGTGTCGATCTGGGCATAGCGGAAAGGAACATGGGCAAAATAGATATGGGCCATGGGGTGTCCCATTCCGGAGGTAGCCCCTATTTTTGAGGCAAACCCATATGGGCAGCCCCATGTCAGGCGTTCTAGGGGTGGTGCCTTTGAGGCCTTTCTTTACCCCTTCGGGGCTTGAGTTCACTGGCACGGTCACTCTTGGTTAGTTCTGTTGGGCCTGGCACGAGCCCGACTCCTACGGAGTGACCGTCAAACGCCAAAGTCACCCCAGTGACAAGGCGAAGAAGCGCAAAAAACCATCTCTGGCTTCCACCCCCACTCCCCCCCCCCGGCCCAAAAAAAAGAAAAAGAAAAGAAGAAAAAGAAAAACCGTCCAACTAATGGGTCCAGTACAAGCCAAGGCCGCTCGACAGGGGCTGCATGAGCAAGGTGATGAGACGCTGCGTCCTAGGCCGGAGCACTTCTCCATAATTAGTTTGGAGTACGCTATAGGGTTGGTTACTACATTGAAAGAGCCGGACCCTCGTCCTCTTAAAAAGGAAAGCAACAGGTTGAAATTAAACTGTTGGTTTCCACGTGCTACCATCTATCGTGTAGACAATGGATTTGGTGAGTAGCCCATGTCCTAGGGGTAATTTGGGGAGTGCCCACGTCATCCCCTTTACTACGAGTAGATGACGTCAAAATTTGTTGGTTGCTCAAGGCTGATATTGAGGGCGTGCTGCAATTTCTTTCCCAGCTTCTTCGCGCAACACAAGCATGCTGACGCTGATCCCGCATGGAAGAAAAGGCAAAAATAATGTGGTGTTCTTTTGGTTCCCCTTTACACCAATCTTCAACCGGCACCCCCAATTGAACTGTACAGCCACAGAAGCATCATCGACCAAAAATATAGATCAGGACTTTGGTCAAAAGCTGTACTTCGGGCGTGACTCGCTAAGAATCCTACGGATGGGATACCATTCTTGCGGGGATCACTGGGGTCTTTCCACAGAAACTGCCACTTTTGGAGATTCCAAAAAGGGAAATGGAGGAAACCCCGTTCTTATCAAAGGGCTGGAGCCGTCTTTCTCAATCGCCAACAAGGCGCTAAAGTCTCTGCGGGAGAACATGATTCCGCCCTCAAGGGTGCGGATTGTGTTCTGAGCCGGGAAACAAGTTGCAGAAAGTGGAACCATCCCAAATGGTGTGCCAAAACGCAAATGAGGACCACCTATGAGCGGACACGACACGGGGCCACATGCGAGCTGTAATCAAAACCCGGTATCAACATGGTCTATCCAAAACCATGTTTGGCCGGGATTGTCCATAACGAACCTTCATCTACCCGGGTTTTGATGGCTCATGTTTGGGTTCATTCGGGCCAAGGGTTCTTTCCCCACGGTCGCTGAACCCCAAGGCCCCTCAAAGGTCGCCGAACCCGAAAAACGCTTCACGCTGGACGAGAGCCAACACCTCACCTCCGGAGGCCCGAGGATCCCGGTGCTCCGGATTTTTGGAGAACAGCCACCTTGCTGCCCTCGCTTGTGTGTTGTTGTGGGCGTCGTTTTGTTCTGTGTTTTTTCTAAAGAGACCGAGCGGAAAAAACCGCACCCCCGTTGGGTGGGCATATATTTTTCTTCCGAGACAGTCGCAGCTTCGAAACACCATGGCTCTCGGAAGTCGGCACTTAAAAGAACTCGCACCAAGGCGCAGTAGCACTCGACTGTGGGTCAAAAAGATGTACCCAAAATGCGACCCTGGTAAATGGAAGCATGGACTGGAATCTGTCGCCCGGCTTTCTTTTGACCCATACCCACTCCATCTTGCGGGTACTTGGAGTGACACGCGCGAAACAATTGAATGTTGAACGGAGCTCTTGGCGTGAACGGAGCACAAAATCGAGCTCTTGACACCCAAGCCCAGAAAAATCGGGCACGAGCGCCCAAAACTTCCAAGCCTTGGAGAAGCAAACTGCGTCGACTGCGTTGAGCATCAAACTGCCGATGAAGCTGGGAAGGGGCACTGAATTCCCCGCCCAAAAGGTCTTTGGGCCAGGGGGCCAAGGGGAAACAGGGAAGCGAACCGCCCATAGGTGGCCTTCTGGAAAAATAGATGGGTTTCCCTGGTAAACGGAAGAAACCCCACCTAAACCAGTGGAACCCATCGATTTTTCACCAAACTAACCCACTTGGTCATGGGGCATAACCTATCGCTCCCTTTTGGGGTGGATGAACATCCATTTGCAACCTATTTTGATGTTCACCAGGGGTTTCCTGATTTTGACCCACAGCCACTTTGAGAACACCCAAGAAACTCGCATCTCCCGGGCAACCCTGCGAAGTGCAGGCGCGCACGGCCACCACGTCGCCTCGGAAGCGAGAAGCCAAGGGCGAAATCCAAGCGGACGCGGAAGCTCCCGAAAAAAAGAACGTTGGATGTGTCAAAGGAAGCTTTCGGAAATGAGGGTCATCCAATAAGTTGGGTGTCCCAAAAAATACGGGTGTCCCCCCAAAAAATGGCGTCCCAAAAAATGAGAGTCATCCGGGATCCCCCTCAAAAGAACACACCCATTGTGGTGTATCACCCCTTGCGAGCGATGGTGAGCTCGGCCAGCCAGACTCTTAACGGCACCTGCGCTTTCTTTGATGGCCCCGTTGAGTTTGTGTTCAAGGAAAGTGGGTTTCTTTCTAGGATTTAGACCCCCAAAATGGTGGTTTTCCTTCTGGTGTCAATTTATAACCGCCAAAAAAAGAGTGCCAACTCAACACCAAAAAAAAGACACGCCCATGTGCAAATTGGATATCTGAAAATTGACTCGAAAATGAAATGATGGTCGGACCCCCTTTTGGCGTCCCTCCAGAGGGGAAACGACTACCCTCCAAAAACCACCACCCATTAAAGGGCCGCAGGCGGAACGCCGCCCGTTGAGGGCCCGGAACCTATGAGACCAGTGCCCCAGAAGATTTCTTGGGCTTCCCACGCAAGAGCTCCAGGGCGAGCCGTACCACCTTGGCCCCGATGGACCGTCTGCACTCCGGGGTTTGGGTTCCATACTGAAACCTTGCAAAGTGTGGGTGTGTCTTATTCTTGGGGATACGTTTTTGGGACTTTGGGAGCTTGCCTAATGGAACTATAAACGTGGCCCGTTGTTATATCCCTAGCTTGAGACAAGCCCGCCGTGTCTTTTGTGGTCTGGTTCAAAGGGAAGGAGGGAAGGGGAAGGTGCTCTGGTAGATGCACCTCACCCCTCACTCGAAACTCAGCGACTGCTTTGCCCGAAACCAAGCAACCAAGCACTGACTCTATGTCCTCTGCCACGTCTCACATCGAACTTGCAGACAGGGGTTGTACGGGTCGACCAATCTTAGAACAGCGCAAGATGCCCTTGACCCCTGGCTGACTCAAATAGGGGTCAAGTGGGGTTGACACATGGCTGTATATAAGAACAGACTGTCCGCAACGGGGCTGCCTTTCGACACATGTGGGCCAATCTTCGAAGCCCCCTAAGGCATGTCGACTCTCTCTGCTCACGGCTCCCGGCCGAGGGGTTCGCGCACGCCCGCAGGTTGTGACCTCTTGATTGGGCGCGTTTTCTCTGCTGGTGCCCCGTTTGGGTCACTTGGGCAAAGGAAACCAAGAGCAAACCACCCATTCAGCGCCATTTGAAGAGACGGCCCCCTTTAGCGCGAATCATGGAACTCGTGCCGGATGTGTTCCTTCAGTCAGTAAGAAGCTGTGGGAAAAGGAGGCGGTGACCTACCGCCGATTTGGACACGTGCATCCACGAAACGATGGTTCGGAGCCCCAACCTCCCTTGGTGTCCCTTCAGAAACAAAACCTGGCCCACATCTGGGGTTCACAGAAAAGCATAGTGTCCGATGCATATCTACAGTGTAAATACATATATATATATATATATATATGGTCCCGGTTCCGTGTTGCTACCCCAAAAAAAATGTTAAAAAGGCTGGTCCTGAGGGGTTGCCTGTTGATGGTCCCCTGTTCTGGTTTTT